AATCTAGACCATTCATTTTGTGAATTTCAAGATCTTAGCATTTATAAACTCAAAATCATTTTTTTCTTTTTTAGCATTGTTCATCTAATGATAATAAAGCCATACAAAAATTTTGAAAATGAAAAAAACTTTCTAAGGCCTAGATCTAAGCATCTCACCAAAATGAACGGGCTATGTTAATTGGGCTAAAAAAATACTTTCACGGTTGTGTTTGCAATTTTTTATTTTTTTTGTTATTGTTCATTAAAATAAAATAGTGTATATTTCAAAATTTGGATCAAACTAATAACCATAAGATGGTTTTTTAAAGTTGTTACATTATATTACTATACAACGGTTACATGAAATTATTATCCCCAATTAGAATTGTAACCTCATTATACCAAAAATAAATAGTCTCACAATATACTATCCCAAATTATAAAGCTTCCCAAAAACAAAATTTCAGTTCTTCTTAATAAAAACATATTCTTAATAAAAGTAGATAAATAGACAAAGAAGACTTGCTAGGTAAACGGGTCAAGTTTGGTTCTGCCGACTTGGTAGGCAGTAGGAACTCCAGTGATTCAAATTTCCTAGGCGTGGTCTGCCCAAAGCATTTAAGTCCAAGCTTGACTCAGACTCGAGCATAAACTAGTTGGATCCAAGTCAAGTCGGTCAAGATCTGGATCTCCAGACTTGAACCTTGTCTTGTCGGCCCCCGCGGTCAGTGGATCGAACCCGACCCGATAAGCAGCCGTAGAGACCTGCCCCCAAGCACATTTTTTAAGAAAAAAAGATCGAAGGAACCTAGTAAAGTGCCCCACCACTATAGTTTAGCGTTTGTGTACCCTAAAAAAATTACGATCGTAAAAAGAAAGGTTTGAGGTCGTCTAAGAATGATTTCCACAATAGTAAAATGCTCTTTTTGACTCACCAATAAAGAAGTCATTAAGTCAAAGTCATTAAGTGTCATATATTCGTCATTTTTTCTGCATAATTTCTCACGAATTCGAAGAAAATACATTGCAAATTTGAAGAAGCAATGCCGATAAAAGCGGCCTCTTGACAAAGTCTAGAGAGAGAAACTCTCAAGTAAGACCTGAGAGAGAGGGGAAAACAAGGTGTAATTTCAAAAATCATGTAAAAAAGAGTCTTTTAAAGTTAAAAATCATTTTAATCAATCATCATCTCGGCCTCCAGATATAAAAATATAAAAGATTTTCAAGTTTTAAAATATTGTATCTTGTAACAAGTCATTTAGATCATTTATTTTCAAAAAATTTCTAATATTTATAGATATGCTCAATCACATCATATTTAATATTTTAAATTTAATAATTATAATTTAACATTAATTTTCAAGTCACGTTCGTTTTTGACACCGAAACGACATCTTTCTCATGAAATTTAGAGGTGTGGTTCTTGTACTGTAGAACCACAATACAAGAAAGAGTGTAATTACCAAAGAGAAGAGAATTGAGTACTCAGGTTAAATTACAAGGGAAACCCCATGTGGCTTGCTTGAATAAGTCTTCTAAAATGGGTCCTCCTTTACCCAACAAACTCTATTATCTATAGATTGGAAGATGATATATCAATAATAATAATAATAAATGATTATTCTAACATATTACGTATACAATACACAACCTTAGCTTTGGAGCTACTCCACATGTCCCTACCAAACATTGCTCGACTCTTGGATCATAATACTAAGTCTTGTTATATTATTAAACTTTAGAGAGAAAGAGAGTTCCCCTCATATCGAAACTTATGGGTCGTTTGGTTTATAGGGTATCCATGATAATGTTTAGTAAAATTTTGCCCAAAAACATGTTTCAAATTTCATATAAGTAGGAAAAGTGGTCAAAACATGGGTACACATAGTCAAAGAAAAAATTGGTTTATCCATTTGAGATTGTATACTATGAGACCATTTATTTCAAGTATAAAGAAGTCACATTTATTTTTAACCATTGGATGTCAAATTCAATAAACAAAAGTATATCACAACATTTGATAAATTTATTTTGGATTTTGTGCCTAAACAATGAAATATCATCAACTACCTAATAATAATAATTATTATTATTAGAACACTTGTTTCATACGAGCTGGGCCAATCTCTAAAATATGTGATCCAAAGGTATAAAGCATTCATATTAAAGATGGATGCAAATAGGTGGTTTATCTAAAAAACAATTATAACTAATAGTCCAAATGTTTTCTAAATATAATTATTATTCCTAGCTTTCAAATTTATTTATTTTTCATATTCATGATCTCCATGTTAAAAATTATATATTATCTAAAAATTAGAATCAAAATATATTTAAAAAATATATTTATTGCCAGGCTTACATTTCTACAATATGCATGTTGGCCGCATGCTAATCGCATCCTAATTATTATTATTTTCATGTTATTATTATTATTTCCACACACAGGAGTTGCCCACTTTAGCAAATACAATTAACTTTGCCAAAACACCCCCACAAATTAGAGAGAGAAGCCATCTCAAATTTTAAGTTTTGGAGAGAGAATGTATCTTAAAATTAGAGAGAGAAACTATATCAAATTCTGGAGAGAAAAACTGCCTAAATATTTTTAGAGAGAGAAAGTATATTTAAATTTTAGATAGAGAAACTATATCAAATTTTAGAGTAAGAAACTATTTGAAAAATTTTAGAGAGAGAAACTATCTCAAAGTTGTTGGACAGAAAATTATTTCAAATTTCAAATTTCAAATTTCAAATTTCAAATTTCAAATTTCAAATTTCAAATTTCAAATTTCAAATTTCAAATTTTAGAGAGAGAATTTGTCTCAAAATATCAAGTTTGAGGTGTTCACTCTCTAACTTGTTTACTAAACATGGGAAAAAAACATGTTTGAGTAATTTTTTCATGTAAATTGTTCACATATGTAAATATGTTTTCGTAAATATTAAGCTATCAAACTTTCACGTACATCAATCAACCCCTAATAGCAAACCATCACTAGAGTATTTTTTTTACTAATTGGAATCGACTACACGAATCATGATTCGTCATTTTGTTTTATTAAGTATCACAACCTTGGTGAGACCATAAATCTCTATATCTTTTCTTACTACTCACAACCATATCATATTGAACGTACATTTAGCCCGCTTTGAGTATTTTACTTGAACTAACTCGCACTTTTTAACATGTGTTGTATTGGGTATGCCTCATATATGAGCAGTCAATTGTAGACTACTTTATCTCATCTTATCGCCTATTAATGTCATACCTAAATATCTCGAATATATTTGTTTTTACTTCTATCTCTTTTGCCTTATCACTCATCTATCTTAACATCATCGTTTCAGCTACATTTATGCTATAGGTATGTTGCTTCTTGACCGCCCAACATGCCACCCTATAAAAGCAAAGTTGGTCAAGCAGTTGTTCAATAGAACATACCCTTCAGCTTAATTGGTATGCGGCGATCATATGAAACTCTGGTCGCACATCTTCACTTTGACCATCCAACTCTAATTCTATGTACGACATATTCCTCAATCTCTTTATTTTTCAGAATTATCGATTCAAGATATCGAAAGCGCATTATTTTTTGTATTTCTTGGCCACTTATTACTTTCTCGTCTCTACTCCTAGTATTATTAAACTTAGATTCTAAATACTTATTCTTATTAGTATTAAATTTGGATTTCAAATACTCTGTTTTAGTCTAGCTAATTTTAAAATATTTAAATTCTAGAGCAGCCCTTTAAAATTCAAACTTTGTTCGAATGTTGTTTCGGGTCTCAAACGTTAAATCTATTTTGTCCACCAACAATATGCACCATGACACATTGTTCAAAAAGATGATTCAATTTATCTTGTCCACCAACAATATGCACCACGACACATTATACAAAAAGATGATTCAAACGTGAGATTTGCATAACCAACGTATCATTTAAAGCCATCTAAATAGGCTTGGTTGAGTAACCAAGTTTTAACGAAACCAAAGTTTACATAATAAGCTTTTGATTCGAAAACCTGTTAACCCAAGGAACGGTCTAGAAAGGCATCGTGGGTTTGGTTAAAACTTAAAAGAGTGTGGCCATTTTTTGTACTCAATGGTTAGAGAGAGAGAAGGCTTCAATTTGGTTTAGTGTTGGAGAGAGAGAGAAGGAGCTGTTGGGCCTTGCTCCACTAGAGAGAGAGATGACTTTTTTTAACACCAAGAGAGAGAGAGAGAGAGGTGGCTTTCTTGGGCCTTCACCAGTAGAGAGAGAGAAAGATGGGTTGGTTGGGCTTGATTCACTTTCTCTCTCTAACCGATCCCCTAGGCTGAAAATTGGAGTTGCTCCAAGAAAAGAATCTCTCTCTAAATTTTATCTATCTATAAGTATAGGTCATGGAAACAATAGTAATCACATTTGTCTGCACACACCATGATGTAATACGTTGTGTGCCCACATACCGCATAATTCACCCCACCAAATCTCTCTCTTTCCCTCACTAACATCCCCATTCTCTTTCCTCTCTCTCTCTCTCTTCAAATTATTGGCTTTTCCAATAGATCACCAGTTTATGGATGATTCCCAATAGATCACCATGTGTAAGGATCTTTTACATAGAATGTGCCACGAGGATGATACCTCCAAAGCCTATCGTTAAAATCTAAACTTCCTGAATCCTCCTCTCTCTCTCTCTCTCTCTCTCTAAATTTCTCAACCAAACCTATGGTTAGATTCTGAATTTCTAAGTTATAATCATCCTCTTTGTCTCTGTAAAATAATTCACATCTATTTCTCTCAATTTCTCAATGCTCTCTCTCTCTCTCTCTACCAAACTCATGTGACTCTTTAACCTCTCTAGCCCCTCTATCTCTCTCTCTCTCTCTCTCTAACCAAGTCGGGAGAGCCTTTCCCATCTTTCTCTCTCTTGGAAACCATTATCTGTCCCTTTCTCTCTCTAACTTCTCTGGGGACCCCTCCTCTTCCGACCTCTTTCTCTGTCTCTGTCTCTGTCACTCTCTCTCTCTCTCTCTCTCTCTACAACACCCACAAGCTCCTGCCCCACGCGTGTAAAACATGCGCACGCCCCCATGAAAACGCATTCTTAAACACTCACGGACACAGCGCTTAAATCTCTCTCTTACCCAACCACTCCTCCTACAAGGGGAGAGTAAAGTAGGCAGCACGGCTCACAGCTTCTGAGGCAAAGACTGTGTCTTCAGTTCTTCACCGTCCTCGTTGTCGCAGGATCTCACTGCAAAAAACCACATTTTTATCTCTTTCTCTTCCTTGGATCTTGCTGATTTACTGACAATAATCATCAGAAACCTCTTGGCCTAATTGGGTCTTGATAAGTCCTCCGTCTCCTCCATTTTCAAATCTTATCTTCCCTGTCTTCTCCACCCTTTTCACTGTTTTCTCTCTCTAAAGCCATAGCTTTTCACCACTCTTCTCGCTGTTTTCTCTCTCTAAAACCATGTCTTGGCCCTTTCAAAAGCTTGCAGGTTATCCTTATCCTTCTTCTTCTGATACCATGGATCAGGATTAGTCTGTATTCGCAGGGCCTTCCTTTCTTTCTCTCTCTAGAGTCTGAAACCATGGACCCAAATCCGGAGTTTCCTCGTCTGACTTTTGAGTGAATGTGGGGTTCTTGTCCTTTCTCTCTCCTCTGTTAACTTGGGAATTTGGGTCCTCTTCCTTCTTTTTTAGAGAGAGAAAATGGGTGGTGGTGACAAATCTCAGAAGGACATAGAAGAAGGGTCCCATGAAGAAGATGATTGCAGTGACAGTAGCTTCTCAGATGCAGAGGATCGTTCATGGCATTCTTCTTATGGCTCTCATGGAAGCTGCTCTTTTGAAGAGTACAGTTATTCAAATGCCAGTGATCCAGAGATAGGAATGGCTGGAGATAATCAGAGGAACTCAGTTTCAGAGTGTTCAGATGTGGATTTGGGAAATGGGGTAGAGAGGGAAAGTGTTCCTGAGATTAAGATTCATTTAGCAAAGGTAGAGAGAGATTGTAGGATTTGCCATTTGACCTTGGAGCCCAGCACCAGCAATCAAGAGTCGGGCGTTCCCATTGAGCTCGGTTGTTCTTGCAAAGATGATTTAGCAGCTGCCCATAAGCAGTGTGCAGAGGCCTGGTTCAAAATCAAAGGAAACAAGTAAGAAAGTTTTGATCTTTTTGCTTTTTCTTCTCTCTCCTCCTCTGGTTTAGGCCTTTCTTTTCCTCCTTGGTGGAATAGCCTCTTTATTTTGTGTCATCTTTTCTTTTCTCTCTCACATATGCTTAGTGCAAATTAAAAAATTTTCATTTTTGGATATGGGTAATAAATGCCCTGGGTTGTGGGCTATTTGATCTTTTGTTGACTCTCTCTCTCCTCTCTCTCTCCTATTTACTATCTTTTTTTGTACATGGGTTAGAAATTTCATGAGTTCACTGAAAATACCAAAGGAATTTCATGCATACTGATTTTTAGGAGTATTTTACAATCTGAGAGACTTGTGCCTATTTGTGTTTTGTGTTATATGGCCTTCCCTGCCATGCCTGCATATTTTCCTGTTACTGATGGATCTTTAAATTGTGAAACTTCACTGCATATAAATTTTGGACACATTTTTAGCCCCATATCTCTCTCTCTCTCTCT